ACGTCACAACCTAGCGGTTTTCGCGACCGTCTCGGCCGGCACGAAGTGCACGCGAGCGCGCCGGACCCGTAACGCGACATTGTACATTATAAGCGGATATTGTTGAGAAGGGAATTTGGGGAGATTGAGTCCCCCTGAACATAGTAAAACCACTCCAGACGTCAAAATAAATTGTATATTTTAATATTTGATATTCGTAACTTTTTATTTTAATTTGTTGGTATGTGATAATGGTCCGGAATATTTACGAACTATCGTTATCGGGGAAATCCATATTTTTGTAGGTAACAAAGGAAATAAAGGAATAGATTTGTACAATTAAAACAAAGAAAACAAAAAATTGAGTAGCTATTCAATGCTTACATATATTTTTATATTAGTATTAAGCATGATTCACACTAGTCAGACACGTACCGACAGACACCGTACCGTGCCGTTCAAATATACAATACTTATTATTGTTCCAATACCTATATTTTCGCTACAACATCGTAAAATGACTACACAAGTTTCCCTCTTTTCCCCTTTTCTTTATATTTTAAGTTTGAAATGTGTTTAAAAATGTTTGTGACAATGCATAAAGACATTCTTGATCTCTAACGAGTTCAATTAATAACTCTAAACTCATCACGTGAGAAAAGTATAAAAAAGTTAAAAAATGAGAAGTTTGTATAATATGTACGAACTTCAAAAGTATATGAATAATTTTCCAGTGAATGGCAACAGATGGATATTATAATATTATGTCTGTTGTTCATTGAAACTTATCATACAGACCTGTTCAGACCGGATCAGACACGTGCCGTCCCGACAAAACATTCTCGCGCGGAATGCCGGACGAACTCTGTCGGTTCGCTACGTGTATGAACGAAACGGAAACGTTTAAATGTGAATTGCTGTATTTAAACAAATATTAAAATATTTTCCGAAACGGTACGGTACGGTGTCTGACTAGTGGGAATCATGCTTTACGTGTATATATTTGGTGCCTCGATTAAAAAAGTAGGAGTAGCCACTAGTTAGAAGATTGAAACGTCTAAAAATGTCTGTTTACGGTAATGGATAATACAAGGAAATGTTAAGCCCCCCACAGATGTAATCAAATATCCGCCTATGTTGCACGCGCTCGTCCCTGCGGACAGTACTACTCGTAGAAACACACGCCGTGCCGTCGCCGCAACGGCGCGGAGTGAACCGGTTTTATCGACGAACGCCAAAGGAATCGTTTGGCGCGGCGAGGACGCGTTTCAATTGTTTTTATCGCCGTTGAAATGCGCACGCAGTGCATTTTTTAAGGAATTTTAACTCGGCAACAGTTTATTTTCTCTCAAAATACTCTATATAACTTAATGATGCGATGGTAGTATTTCACGTTCGGTCTGCATAATTTTATCCACACTTTCAATCGAATGGGCGACATATGTGTCGCCTAGTCAACTAGTTTAAAAAATGCACTGCATTCGGCATTGCTACGTGTGAAAACGTTCGCGGAAAACCGCGCGTTAAGGTGATTTACATTACAGTCCGAACGCGAGCGAATGCCACCGAATACATTCGAACGCGAATTCGTTCATGATTCAGCCGTTTACTGTGTTCCGGGCTATTGGCGGTTCTTCGGGCTTGTTCTTCTGCATTCGCATTGGATTCACTTTGAAAACCAAAATATGTTTTCAAGTATTTAGATACGGGCACAAAGTGTTGAACACAACGGAATATCGTTCGAACTGAACGAGCGTTTTCTTTGGTCATATACCGCCGTCCGAGCGAGCGTCACCGAACGCGAACGAATCGTTCGCCGCCAATTCGCTCGCGTTCGACAAACGCGAACGAACGTGGATTAGATGATGAATATAGAATCGAATATTTTTACTTGGACGTTATACTGAACGCGAACAAATAACAACGAATGCGTTCGTTCATCATCGCATATGTTCGATCGGACAGCGAACAGCAACCGAATGTTGACTGTCAACAAACTCGTGTTTTAGTTTGAACACAAACAGTAGTACTCCGAACGAAGGCAAACGAACGGCGAATTTGACTAGAATCGCGTTCGTTCGCGTTCGGACTACAATGTAAACGCGCATTTACGATAGTGGATCTTAGGCGCAGTTCGTAGCGAATTGAAAATTACGCCGCGTCACGCGTGCTACGTTTCAGGTCCCGGCATGTCTTAACGATAACGCCGCAACAGTACTTGTCATCGACGCCAAACGCGTTAACAATAACGATACGTTTTCGGATCGAACGGCACTGCACACGACTACTCTACACGTATAGTCAGTGGCGTATTTACGGGGGAGGTCCAGGGGTACTGGACCCCTCCAGAACCTCTCCAAAAAATAAAAAATTAACAACAATTCTTACATATTTGCAGAATTGGGTATGTTAAACATTCACAGGGAAGTTGAAATTACTGTTGATGAAGTGATAGAAGAGTTGGCCAAAGAATCGAGACAACTGGAATTTATTTTATAACAATACTTTATTATATATAATGCTAAATACAATATATATAATATTATATAAGACTATACGATTATTACATTATATATTTATTTCAACTTCCTCCAAAAACTGCATAAGGACGTAACTATTATAATATAATATATAGTTTATATTAATTATGTATAAACTGTGGACCCCCCCCCCCAGAAAAAATTGAAAATACGCCACTGCGTATAGTAATGGATCGTTCGTAAACGAATCGCAGCGATTCCATCAAATCGTTCTTTTCAGGTGCATCAGGTGCCCAAAACCAAATTGTTCCGCGTTCGTATCGTGCACCGGTCACGCGTTATTCGCGCGAGTCTAGAGACGAGCGAATCAGAATCGGATTGCACTTACTCGGTTCTTTTAGGCGCAATATTCCTACTGACCAATTTTTCTGCACTTGTACTCGTATTTTGTACGATACAAGTATTATCACAGAAAAAAACCCTTTAAAGGGGTTGGAGCACGTCATATTTTTAATGCATTTAGACCAAAAAGCGGAAGCAAGTTTAACATACTTTTCATTGACAGATTTTAATTTAAACTATACGTATAAATTTCTTATCTTCTCCCCTAGGACAACTAGGAAACCGACTTTTGATTTTTTCCCCCCAATTAATGTTAAAAAAAATTTGATTATAACATTTTTTTAATGATAATTTCGATAATGTTTGTCTTTTTTTTTTTAGAAAAATAGAACCATAATAGAAAAAGTGCTAGTACCTAATTGGCCTAGTTAAGATGTTAAGAAATCAAAATTATTTTCAAAATGAAAATGAGATATCGGGAAGTCGGGTAGATTTAATTTCCCTTTTGACAAATTTTGCAATCTTGTAAAGAACAAAATTAAATTTTACGTTGTACCAAGTGACATGTGCATGCATATACGAGTACAAGAAATCTGAGTGCATAGTGCAACGCCGGCCAAGTTCCAACAATGCCAGTATATCTTTACACAAATCAATACGCCCGATTATTATAACCCATATATCTCTGTTTCCTTTGAAGATAAACTTTAAAACATAGATTAATCTCGAGTAGCTTAGGACGTTGTAAGAAAATGAGCCCTTAATATTGTACCATTTCGAAATGGGAAGACTTCAAAATTAGCAATTTTTTAACTGACTCACTCACTGATCATCAAAATTATAAGACACTTCCCGTATAGGTAGAAACGTGAAATTTGACACAAACGTAGGTTTTTAGTGTAAATAAAGGGAAAAATCTAAAAGTTGAATTTTTTCAAAATTAATGCCACTTTAGAGAGTGTATTTCTAAACGTACGAATTGGTGCGCTAAGCACGCATAAACGTTTTCTTTCAAACAGCGTTACATATGATAATAAGAAATTGTTTGTAGTATACAAATACACATGAAATGACAAAAAATACCATAAAAAATCAATAATTGCAACATAAAAGTTAGTTATTTAGATTTGTATGTTATGAAAACAAATTTTTAGTTAATTGTACTTCAATTCACATATACAAAATATCACCACCAGTAGGTGTTCTACTCAATGTTCGAGATGGTTCCCTAGTTTTTTGTTAATAACTTACTCTACTTACTCTGAACAAGTTCTAGGTGTTATATTTATATCGTCGATATGTCTGCGTAATGTAGAAAAATTTGTTTTACATATATGGCAACAGTTATACATATTGCGCAATAAAAAGTTATAACACAAATGATATGAATATATTATAAATTATTAATATTAATATTGTTAATATTATATATTATTTATATAATCTGTGGTTATATCACCGAACAATAATAATTTATTGCACATAATACACATAATACAGATAATATAGTAAAATGATAAAAGCATCAATCAAAAAATGTTATATTTTATAGTGATAACGGAGAATTGATAATAATGTGCATGGATCAGAGTGGTTCTGATCCGCTCGTGTCGCACACGGAGGCTTATTACCGCCGTCAATGACGGCCGCGGATACGCAACGCTTTGCATGAAAATGATAACATGGACACAATTAAAACGAACATATTTCCAGAGCGAACAACTGTTCTTAATATTTTTTCTTTCCTCATAAATTGAATTAAATTGTTCTTTTTTTATTGATAATTAATTTTTACATTTTTAAAAATAGGTATAAGGAACTGGTTGCTGTGTCTACCAGAACCGCTTATGTCTCTGATACTTTTCAAAGATATGGAATTGCACGTTGAGGTGAAATAGAAATACTACTCATATACCGTCAAATGGGGTGAATAGAAACAGTATGGTGAATAGAAACAAAAAGTGATAAAGTTATATTCGATCTTGTAGTTTTTAGGAAAATTGGTTTAGGACACTTTTTTCTTTATCATACTCAAGTGTACGTAAATGACATTACACCTAATCTGTTATTTAGTTAAAATTATTTACTAATGCATTGATAACACGGTGATCTAAGACACAAGTTTATTATCAGTTCTTATACGTGATAATACACATATTTTTTTCTGTATGATAAGACTGATTGATTATTATTATTTATTTTTTTTAATGTCCGTTGACATCTTTAATTTAATAATTCGTAAGTATACATTTTTTTATTTATTACAAGTTTTATTTTATTAATTTATAATTAAAAAATTGTTTTTTTGGGGTGAATAGAAACAACGTAAAAATGCCATGAACTTATCAACATGATCCTTGAAGCAAAAAGCATATGAAACCAAATCAAAATGATCTCAAAAATGCTATTATGGCAATTAAAAGTAAACAAGTAACATACCGGGATGCTCATGAAATATATGGCATACATTATTCTGTACTCTACCGTCATGTTAAAAATTCTAATTTAAAAAAATAAGGGGGCCAAACGGCTTTATCAGTGTCTGAAGAAAATATTATAATTGATATCGTATACTTCTATGTACAGAATGGGGATTTCCTCTTGATCAATATGATCTAAGACTTTTAGTCAAAGGATACTTAAATCGCCGAGGCAAAAAAGTAAAACGATTTAGCCGTAATAACATGCCTAGTAAAGAATGGCCATTAGTTTTGTGACTAGGCATAAAGATGTTTTATCTTTACGTTTATGCCAAAATATAAAGCGTTGTCGAGCAGCCATTTCAAGAGAAACTATTAACAATTATTTTGATAACCTAGCTATTTCATTAAAGGGAGTTTCACCTGAATATATTATCAACTATGATGAAACAATTTTGACAGATGATCCAGGTAGAAAAAAAATCTTAACCAAACGAGGTTGTAAGTATCCTGAAAAGATAATGAACAGTACCAAAACATCAATTTCTATAATGTTTGCTGCTTCTGGCAATGAAACTGTATTTCCTCCATACACAGTTTACAAATTAAAGCATATGCATGATTCATGGAGAATAGGTGGTCCAAAGGGTGCCAGATTTAATAGAAGTCCATCTGGTTGGTTTGACAGAATGTGTTTTGATGATTGGGTCAAGAGTATAGCACTACCTAATTGTAATAAATTGGGTACAGGAAAAAAAATATTGGTTGGTGACAATCTGTCACGTCATTTGTCATCAGAGTCTATAAAGATATATCATGAAAATAACATACAATTTGTTTTTTTGCCAACTAACTCTACACATTTGACTCAGCCTTTAGACGTGGCCTTTTTCAGACCTCTAAAAATACATTGCAGGAAAATCTAGGAAGATTGGAAGATGGGAGAAGGTAAATAAGACACTTCTATTTCAAAAGACAAGTTTCCCAGACTGTTAAAAAACTTTGTTTAAAAATAAATGAAAATGGATGTGAAAATGTTATGGCTGGATTTAAAAAATGTGGTATTGTTCCACTAAACAGAGACCAAGTGCTTGATATATTACCTGACTCTAGTAATTTTTCTGAAAATCTAACTGCAAATATTTCATGTCAAAGTGCCATTGATGATAGCTTAAAACAGTTTTTAGAATTAATGAGACCGTCAGATCAAAAACAACAAAGACAAAAAAAGGACAAAATTAAATGTTGAACCAGGAATGAGCGTTGAAACTATTACATCTGAAAATGAAGATGACCCAGAATTAGTTAAAGAAGTTGAGGGTATGGAAGACGACAAAGAAAAAAATCTTAGTGATACTAATAGCAGTATTTATGAAGTCTATTCAGTTGAAAAACCTGCATTTGTTAAAATGCATGGAAAAATATTTGAAAATGTGTATCCAATAAAAAGTAAATCTGAAATTTTAACAGATGATTGGTTTGTTATTAGTTTTCAAATAAATCCAAAACAACCTTCTTCTAGTAAAACATGTTATAAATATTATGTTGGTCAAGTAATTGAGAAAAATTGTGACATTTATAAAGGTACATTTCTCAGAGGAAAATTTACTAGGGAAGACAATGGTTTTATTTATTGTTTTCCAAATGTAAAGGATCAGTGTGAGTTTGAGTGTGATCAAGTTGTTAGTAGGCTAGACAAACCAACAGTTTACAAACGTGGCTTATTGAAGTTCAAATTAGACTTTAAGACTTTATAAATGTTACCTAATTAAATATTAAATATTTTATTTATTATATTTAAGTTACAGTTTATGTTTTATTCTTACCAGTTTATATTTGTTAAATTGTGTAGGTACTAAATTGTTTGCACCTAATTCTTAGTTCTTAATTGTAATTCTAAGACTGAACAGAAAAGTATCTGTGTTAAATTGTTTAATTGTATCAAATGCATACTTATTGTTATATTGTAACTAATTAATAAAGTGTTGAATATTTAATAAATATTTTTAAAAATTTAATTATTTGTTTTTATTCATCTTCCATGAGTTTGAATCGCAAAAGTTGATAAAAAACATTACATGTTTCTTTTCACCCCACTCAACAGGTGAATAGAAACAAAGCACTTAAAAAAGTTTATAAAATCAATCTTTAAATATAAAATGTTACCAATAATACTATATTAAAGTACTCACAGAGACCCATATTTTAAAGTATCATTCATTATTCTATGTTAAATATTTAAGATGCTACAAGCTTTAGAAGCTTAAAATTGTTTTTATTCACCCCATTTGATGGTACCTTCATATTTATATTTTCATTGTTGTTGGCTAGTTTGTTCAATATATTGAAAACTAAAACTTCTATTCACAAAATAATTACTCAGTTTTATAAATGTATCAATATTCTATTTATGTTTATAATTATGGATTAATTTTTTTTTATTTACAGTATTTTTCAAAGAAAATTTAGTTTTTTCTTTACATGCAAAAAAAAAAATTAAAAACCTTGTAAAATGTATATAAGATTAAGTAAATTCCTGAAATACTTATTTTTTGTGTAATTGTATTCTTATTTCTTATAATCTTAATCTATTTTGTCTTAAAAAATAATGTCAAAAAGAAGTAGGTAGGTATTTTTATTTGTTTTACTTGCTCCCATTATTATGACATTTCTGTAGAATTTAATTTTTTATATTATCATCTATTAATAAAAAATCCATAAATATTTACCATTTATTGTCATATTAAATATGTTTAATATTTTTGAACATATATTGAAAATTTGTTTTAAGTATTTATTTATGGGAAATTCCATGTTTTTGTATTATGAACTTATAATATAACCACAGATTGTATTAAACAAATTTATTATTTTATATAATCTGTGATATAAAATTTAAGATTTCTATAATAATCCAATAAAGATCTTAAATATTTTATTATAATTCTTGGTGTTAAATATGAATTTAATCATTTTAATTTCAATTAATAGTATAACTAAATTTTTCTTTTAATGTTTATTAACATATTTTTATTATTTGGCCTAGTATATTGTATTATTAAAAAAATAAAATAAGATGATTTCATACTTAATATGTATCATAAGTCACATATTAAAATAAATAAGTTTATAAAATATTGTATTATTACAGATATATATATATATATTACGTTCAATCTGTTAAAGATCTAGTGAGTTAATTATAACAACTTTTTGTTTATTATGATTTTATCTAAATTTAAAATATTTTTTTAGACAATGTTTCAAAATATCAATCATTCAGAATTGTATTTTATTACTATAGCTGCAATCATACTGTTATTTTCATTAATTTATTATAAATATCAAGAAAATACTTCAAAATAAATATAACTATTTCAATATTACTACTTAAGTCCAATTTTATGTTTAAAATACATGTATAAAAGTACACTTATTTAAAATGGTCAGGTAATTTTTAATTACTCTTTCACTTTAAATTTGTAGATCTTTTATGCAAGTTCATAAATTAAGAATAATATTTAGTCAAATTAATATTATTTCATAAATAAAAATATGTAATTTATTTGTTTAAATTTATCATAGTTTTTACATATTAAGGTGTAAGTATACTATTATAGTATGTCATAAATACTAATTATTTTTAATTGTTTCTAGAAAGGAACTTATGAAAATTATTTATTAACATTGCTCGCAACTAAAGATCAAAATTTGCTTATCATTGTTGAAAGAACAAAGCATTGGAAGTATGAAAACAGTAAGTTAATACTTAAAACTAAATTAATTTATTAATTCATTTCAATCAGCAATATTGATTTCAGAAAACTAAAAAGAATTCTGAAGTAGAAACATTAAATGAACATTTGACTAAGTCGGAGGTGATTGTTTTAGTTGTATAAATAAATTATTATTTGAAAATTTTCAAATAAATTAAATTCATTTTAAATAAAAATTTACTTTTAGGATATTATATTATCACAATCTATACACATTGAAAAACTAGAGCAAGAAGTTGAAGAATTGACTGAAAGTGGAATGGAAATGCTTACATTATTATCTTCCACTTTAAAAAATAGTTCCAAAAATACAGAAAAATTAAATTCTTTGAAATCAAAATCGGTTGAATTTGAAAATTTATTTATCACCCTTATACAAAAAGTAAAAAAAATGTATCCGAATTTCTAATATCAAAATATTATATAAATTTTTATTTATTATTTATGGTTCTTTTTTATTTTCTGTCAAAATTCTATTTTTTAGTTAGAAAAAAAAAATGATATCATAAAATCTATTTAAATCAATATAAATGAACTAACTAATAAAAATATGGATTTAGTTGAAGAGAATGCTAAAATATCTTTTCAACTAGAACAAGTAAAGTAATTTCTTAATTTAATAAAATATTATATAATGTATTTTGTTTAAATTACAATCGCAAAAAGAAAATTAATGTTGTGTTATTTTATTTGATACCAGTAAAATGTTAATTTTCTGTTTGTCTACTAAAGAACAAGGAAATTTGCTTTTGATCATTGATTATACAATATAAAGATACTTCATTCTATTATTAAAATGGTAGCGCTCTAAATCCATATGAAACAAATTATTCGATTTTCAATAGTTTGAAATGTTAATAACAATTTGTCCCAAAGAGTAGCTATTTTGTAATTTGATAAAAATTAAAGTATTTAAAGATATATTGTCTGTCAGTTATGGGATGAAAATTCAAATTTTACTGTGTTAAATGGGACCTTCTATTAAACTATACTAAAATTAAATATTATTTCCATTGGGTTATCGCAGTGTTCCATTCTAGTTAATA